CAGGTGTGTCCTCTGACTGGTGAGATCTTCAGGCAGCTGGATGTGAACTGCTCAAAGGCCTCATGGTTGACCATTTGGTTCATCCTGGGAGGATCCCTCAGAATTGGCAAGTATTGAAAGAAGGACCCCGGCTTGGGACCCACAAGAGCCCTGCTGAGGGTGTCCCCATGTGCTGTGAGAACACAGTAGAGGAAACCCTATTATGATGGCCATTATGGTCCCCAAGATAACTGAGATTGTATAGGGGACCCCTACCAAGTAACCCCGCCCAGTCACCCAAGCCCAGGACACCAAAGATTCTAGCTGCTCCCAAGAGCTCCCCAAATCCAGGAGGGAGCACAGGCTCCACCCCAGGCCTGAGACCACCCCTGCTCCTGTGGAAGGTGGCCAGTTTCAGCCCTTGTCTCCTGGAGGCCCAGGCTCCTAAATAGAGGACGGGAAGAGAATGATCAGGTGTCATTTGGAAAGAGTGACACAAACTTTCCTGGCCCCAGCCTTTGGTCAGCCTTGGGGGAGGGAAGTTCCCTGCACTGTGGGCCTGGGGGTTGAGAGGGTCACCTGGAGACTGAGTCTGTCCCTGTCCCCTTTCCTTACAGAATAAGCGACTGCTCACCAACTTTTCCAACCGTGAGTCCAGGCAAGCTCCAGTCACCAGTGTCCAGGGTCCTCCAGCTGCCTGCCACTGACTGCAGAGAGATTCCACCTGGTGGGACTCAAGTCTCCCTCAGCATGGGGCTTCTGCTGCCCCTAGAAACTTGACCCCAGGCCTTAGGCAATTCCTGTCCTCTTCCACAATAAACTAGCTCTGAAGGGTGCACGGGTCCCCTCTGTGTGGCCCTGTGAAACAGACAGACGTGATCACAGGCACAGAAATACCAAAGAAAACACTCTGGCCCTGTCTTTTGCAGTCATCTGTGACTTTGCTCCTCACTGCCAGGAGGGTCTGAGATCTCCCACCTCATTCTCCCACCCCATATTTATTGAGCACCTACTGTGTGGTGGTCACTGGGATCCAAAGAGTCCATTATAGAGAAAGGGTGACAGTGTGGAAATGTAGACACACTGGTGCCAAAGACACCTGACTTCAGATTTGATTCAGCCTCCCTAGGAGTTCCTTGAGGTATAGACCCCTCGGGACACGGTGACCAGTGAGTCCCCAGCACCCCACGATGTGAGCTCAGTACAGGTTCAGGGTTAAATGAGTGGAAGATCCTGGTCTCAGGACTCACCAGCTCTGGGAAACTACATTTTGCCTCTTGGTCCTCATCATCTGCAAAATGGTAATTAAAATCTTGCAGGAGGAGGAGCCAGGGAGCCCTGGCACTGCTGATGGGAGGGAAAGCAGAGCGCCCCCCCCCCCCAGGACACTGAGATCAGCTACAGCCAGACACACACCCCACACACCCGCCCTGAGACTCGCAGTTCCTCTGGGAGCAAATGCACATGCGCACTGAAGGAAAGGAGGCGCCTGGCCCTGAGCTCCCAGCAGCCCCCAATTAACCACTCCCCAAATGCCCACAAAAGAACCAACAAAACGCGTAATGACCTGCTGGGACAGCGACTCACTGATACCCTCAGTAGCAACGAAGCCACCTCCAGCTTCCCACAGCCACACGGATGAGCCTCATAAACGTAAAATCACGTGAACGTCGCCAGGCACGGAGATGAGAGGGGACATCTCCCAGGGACACGAAGCTGCAAAAACTGCAAAACTGACCCAGGACACTCCCGGCCAAGACAGTGGTCACCTGAGGGTGAGGGTCAGCCACCAGGATTGCTTCAGAGCGCTGTCACAGTCTGACTCTAGACCTGGGTCCTGGTTACAGGAGGGGCCTTCAGTGCCTGAAGACTCCTTGAACTCCTCCTGTGTGCTGCGAGTTTTTCTTAGGTATAATGGAGATTAATGATTTTTAGGATAAACATTTAGCATCAGTTCCTCCCCCCCTGCCGGGAAGAGTACATGGAAACTCATTTATAATAGGCTCAGCGTGGGGTAGGGGGATGGGAAGTTTTTATCCAATGTCATTTATTCATTGCTAATTACTTGGCTACCGTCTATTCAATTATTAAATATTGATTCCCACAGGGTCCACGGTACAGGCCTGTAATCCCAGCAGCCTAGAGGCTGAAGCAAGAGGACTGCGAATTCAAAGCCAGCCTCAGCAACTTAGTTAGGCCCTAAGCAACTCAGTGAGACCCTGTCTCTAAATAAGATATAAAAAAGGGCTGGGGGTGTGTCTCAGTGGTTAACCGCCTGGGTTCAATGCCTGGTACCAAAACAAAACAAAGAATTCCCACCCTCACAGATGCTCTGAAGCTTCAGCACCTCTTTCCAGGTCTGCTCCTAAGGTGGCAGGTTTTGCAGGTCAAAAGCTGCTTTCCTAGTTCAAGACTTGAGCCTCTCCTCCCCTCTCTTTCTCCATCTGCAAAGTCTCCAAAGGCCCAGGTGCAGGAGACAAGTGCCTGAGGCTTCTTTTGAGGAAGAGCAGATTTCCAGGGCTGGGTTTGTGCCTCAGTGTTAAGGCACTTGCCCAGGATTTGTGAGGCACTGGATTTGATTCTCAGCACCACATATAAATAAATGAATGAAATAAATCCCATCAACATCTAAAAATATATATTAAAAGAAAAACTCACTTCCCATTTCAACCGGGATTGTGAGTCCCTGGCACATGGCAAAAACTCAGCAGGTGTTAGCTGTTGGCATTTTTAATTGCAGTTATTTTCTGGTGAGTTGAGGTCTAACTGTGCTATGTGCTATCTGGGTCACGTGTCCCCACTGGGTCTCAGTTTCTCCCTCCCAAAAGGAGGAACAGTCACCTCCCCCTCCCAGGTTCTGATGAGGATGTGCAGTCACATGACCATCAGGCACCAGGGGCTCAGAAAATGGAAGAACCCCAGGCAGGAACGGAGAGACCCCCAGAGATAGAGAAGTCTGATGCAGTTTGACACTTGACATTGCAGGAGTAGGAATAGTTCCTCAATTAGAGAAAAAGAATCAGACCAGTGAAGGAAAGGGGACAAGAGATGACATAGACGTCCCTTCCTGGGCTCTAACTGGTTGCCCTGTCTGGAGTTCCTAACATGATCTTCCAGGTCACCTGGGAGCGTGGGTCCCCAACCTCTGCTGCGTGAATGAAACCACGAAGTCTTGAGTAACAGCCCATCTCAAGTTTTTCTGTTTAACTTGTGAACCAAATTGCTGAACTGACCCACCTGCTAATGTGATTGGCAATTATGTTTTGGAGAGCCCTGAAAGATACCACCTGATTGAAGAATTCTCAATTAAGTTCTGAAGAAATCTCCCATTTGCTGATCCCCAAGCTATAAAAGAGGCTGCCTCCCAGGCAGAAGCACTCAGGAGGAGGAAAGGAGACCAAGACACTGCTGAGACCTCAAGAAGCCCAGGTGAGACGTGTCCCTTCAACTACCCCCCCACTACTCTGGGTGACAAGGGTGCCAGCTTCCTCAGTATGGGGCAGAAACTGGCAGACTGCACTTAGGGTCATTGGGGGGGACCTTGGAAACAGAACTGGCCAAGTTCATGGGCTGGGAATGGCCACTTCCCAAAGAGACCAGCAATGCTGACGTGGAAATCAGGCTCCAACACCCTCAGCCAGGAGCTCCAGGGCAGGAATTTGACTTGGGGTTGTCAGTGTGGTCTGAGATGCTCACTGCGGCCGGGTGACTTCTGATATTAGGTGACTTGCAAAGGTATCCACAAACCAGACCAAAGAGCCATCCGCTTAGCAGGGAGGTGACAAAGCAGTTCGGTGCTCCAGTCACTGGCAAATTGAAGTCTTCATTTGCTTGGTCTGAAGAGCAGGAACTGGGCTGGGGAGGCTCCGAGGCAGAGCGCTCTCCTAGCGAGGACGAGGCCCTGGGTTCCATCCCAGCCCTGCAGAAAGGTCGGTGGAATTCCTCAGAGGAGGTGGAACTAGGGACTCCTTAAGTGAGCCCAGCTGCTGAGTAAATCTTTTTTTTTTTAATTTATATATGACAGCAGAATGCATGACAATTCTTATTACACATATAAAGCACAATTTTTCATATCTCTGGTTGTATACAAAATATATTCACAACAGTTCGTGTCTTCATACATCTACTTTGGATAATAATGACCATCACATTCCACCATCATTTCTAACCCCATGCCCCTCCCTTCCCCTCCCACCTCTCTGCCCTATCTAGAGTTCCTCTATTCCTCCCATGATCCCTCTCCCTACCCCGCTATGAATCAGCCTCCTTATATCAAACATTCTGCATTTGGTTTTTTGGAATTTGCTAACTTCACTTAGTATTATCTTCTCTAACTCTATCCGTTTGCCTGCAAATGCCATGATTTTGTTCTCTCTTATTGCTGAGTAATATTCCATTTTGTAAATATGCCACATTTTTTTAACCATTCATCTATTGAGGGGCATCTAGGTTGGTTCCACAGTTTAGCTATTGTGAATTGTGCGGCTATAAACAATGCTGTGGCTGTGTCCCTGTAGTATGCTGTTTTTAAGTCCTTTGGGTATAGACCAAGGAGAGGGATAGCTGGGTCAAATGGTGGTTCCATTCCCAGTTTTCCAAGAAATCTCCATAATGTTTTCCAGATTGGCTGTGCCAATTTGCAATCCCCCAGCAAAATGTGAGTGTACCTGAGTAAATCTGATGATCACTTAAATAGAGGCCTGGGGGTCAGGCAGAGCTGCTTCAAATACTGTCTCTACTTCAAGCCCAAGAGCTCCCTGATTCTGTAACCTTGGGGACATTGGGGGAAGTTACCTGTGGTCACTAGGTTTGTGTATCCTCACCTGTGCAAGTGATAGGGGCTCATGTCTTGGGAGATACTGAAGATGAAATCAGTCACCCAGGGTACAGCCATCAACCTGTCGCCTGGCACAGAGAAAACGCCCAGCAGTCTAGCCATTACTGCTGGTCACCTCCAGGTGCTCTGGGGAGGAGACCAATTTGTGCCACATTGGACTCATTCTGTCCACAGACACCAAGAGATGTTTCACACTGGGGGCCTCATTGTCTTCTGTGGGCTGCTGGCCCAGGTCACAGCCCAGCTCGCAGGCCTGCCCGTGCCGCTGGACCCAGGCCTGCCCGAGCCCCTGGACCCGACTCTGTCCTTGGATCTGACTCCAGCCCTGGATTCAAATGCCATAGATCTTGCTGGAAGCTTGAGGGATGGTAAGTCTGTGATGGCCTCTGTCAGAGGTGTGTACGTACATGTGTGTGCGCGTGTGCACAGGTGTGCATAAACAACACCCCATCTGGTAGGAGAAGGGGCACGATGAGTAGGGGAGAGGAACTGAGGGCCTGGAGGTGACAGAGGTGCCCTCAGAGGCCCTTCTACTCATTTCCAGCTCTCAGCAATGGCCTGCTCTTTGGGGGTCTGCTGGACATTCTGGAACACCTCCAGCTTTTGAACATCCTGAAGCCTGGAGGGGGCACTTCCGGTGGCCTGGTTGGCCTTTTCGGAAAACTGGCTTCCTCTCTCTCCATCCTGAACAACATCCTCTAGTGAGTTGACTTAAATACTGCCCTGGACCCCAGAAGCAGCTGAGATCTGCCAGCCCCAGGTGGCAGCCCTGAGGGAGGGGGCGGTGGCCTGAGCCTGCAGCCGGGACTCAGTTGGCAGGGACACTGGCCCTCTTCTCCAGTCCCTGAAGTACGTCCCAGAACCATCTACAGTCCTCAGGACAACCCTTCAAGGTCAGCTTAATGATGCCCAGTTCACAGATGAGGACACTGAGCACAGGGACAGGCCTGTGCTCACTTAACGAGATGCAGAGCAAGGAATGTCACTGTAACTTCCTGAGTCCAGGGCGACCTATTTTCCTCTGCACCACTGCCATCTCCTCCCTCCCCCGCTGAGAACACAGTGGACTTTGATGGAGGCAGGAGAACATCAGCTCCCGCCTCCAAGGTGTCATCAGTGACACTAACAGAGCCAGGCGGTGTCTGTGGAAAGTTCTGAAGTGGTGCTTCCCATGGGACACCCCAGAGCTCACTGAGCCAGAAGCACTAGGGTGTCTGTGAGTGGCCACAGCCTGGGCCTGGATGGGATTGGGTCAAAGCCATTGCCAAGGATCTGGCTCTGGCTCCCTGACTGGCAGAGAGACAGACTTAAGATTGAGTGATTCAGGCCCATAGACGTTGGCGCAGACTTACCACTATTCCCACCATCGCCCGTTCATGCACTGAACAAACCGTCCATCCATCCATTCATCCGTCCATCCATCTGTCCAGACAAGCTTTCCTTCATTTGACCCCTTCCTCTGCCATCCACCCACCCGCATATCCATCCACCCACCTTCCCATCCACCCACAAGGGCAGCCCCTTCCTTGGTAAGTCCCTGAGCTGGCACACAGCAGGCCACCAACCCAGACACAGTCCCCTCCTTGATGACCTCATAGACTTGAGACGAAGAGGGCGTCATCCATGTCAGGATCCAGTCTTGGCAGAGGCTGGGAGAAGTGCTGTGAGGCTCAGCACCCGTGTGGCTCTGGCTGCAAGACACCCACATTGTCTTCCGTGGTCCTGGTGGGCAGCTCCTCCTCCCCTTGGATGGTCTCTGGGGTTGAAGGTGGTGTCCAGGTTTGAGGCTCGAGGAGCTGATGTTTCTCCCTCCGATGTTGCACCCTGGACAGCATCAAGGTCACCAATCCCCAGCTGTTGGAACTCAGTTATGTGCAGAGCCACAGCGCCCATGGCCTCTACGTCACCATCCCTCTGGGATTGATACTTAAAGTGAATACGTGAGTAGGTCCCCAGGGTGGAAGGAATGGTGGCTCAGCAAGGGAGATCTGAGGTCTCTGGGGAGGCACCAGGGGGTGGGAGTGCAACGACCTGAGCCTCCGTCTGCAGCTCAATTGCCACTCTGCCGAGCAACCTTGGGTGCCGAGGGAACTCACTTGACCTCTGTGAGCCTTGGGTCTCCTGGGGGAAGTGAGCTGCGTGCACCTGTGGGCAAGGTGGGGTCAGGTGAGGCTCACGTGTCTGAAAAGGGGAAAAACCAGCTGCACCGTGGAATGTGGAGGCCAGATGCCATCAGGGTTGCCTCCTCACCAGGGGCCTGGTGGGAAGTCTGCTGGAGCTGGACGTGAAGCTCAACATCACTGCGGAACTCTTGGTTGTGAAAGACAATGAGAGGAAGAGCCACCTGGTGCTTGGTGACTGCACCCATTCCCCTGGCAGCCTGCGGATCTCCCTGCTTAACGGGTAAGGCCGAGGGCTGACTCTCTGCCCCCGAGGAACAGAGTGGAATGGTGGGTGGATTGATGGAAAGATGGAATGTTGGGAAAATGGAAGAGGAAGAGGATGGAAGGGAGGATGGATAAGGGGTGGGTGGGTGGATGGAGGAGAGGGTGGGTGGGTGGGTGGGTGGGCGGTTGGTGATGAATGGATGATTAATAGAGGTGGATGTTTAGATGGTTAAACGTGTGGAGGGAAGGATGGATGGATGGATATATGTGTGGACAGATGTATAGACGGATTAATAAGTAAATGGAAGGGTAAAGTTTTCACTTATCCTTATTAGGCCACCATGACTAATTTGACGTTGGATTAGGCAACAAGATGTCTGAGTTTAAGCCTCAGCTATGACAGGGCTGAGGGGAGGTGAAGGGCCTCTGAGCTTGAATGGTCTTCTCCTGCGTGGCTGTGGCTTGCCTATCTGTAACGTGGAACTACATGGGGTCACTGATAAAGCCCCCAAGACAGCATGGGTGAAAGTGCTGTGTCCCCTAAGGGGCAAACAGACATGAAGTCTCACTAGGGTCCTCACTGGGCCTTGATGGGACTGGGTTAAAGCCATTGCCAAGGATCTGGCTCTGGCTCCGGCTCCCTGACTTACAGAGAGACAGACTTAAGTTTGAGTGATTCAGGCCCTTAGACGTTGGTGCAGACTTACCACTATTCCCACCATCACCCATTCATGCTCTGAACAAACCGTCTGTCTGTACATCCATCTATCCACCCTTCTGTCCAGCCAAGCTTTCCTTCATTTGACCCCTCCGCTGCCATCCACCCACCCGCATATCCATCCATCCACCTTCCCATCAATTTGATGTTGGATTAGGAAACTGGTTTCAGTCCCCTGTCACCTGGGAAGGCTGAGATCATACCCAACATGTAGGAATCATGGCCCCATGGCCGAGGTCTTCACGTGCCATCTCAGGAGTCCTCCTAGCTCCACAGGGAGCATGGGTCATACTTTGATGTCCTTGTGAAAATCAAAGTGGTGCTTCCAAGCTCTCTCTCCCCCTGCCCTGTCCTGGGGCTGTGGGCTCCTCCCCCTGGTGCCTGTGTGTGCAGGGCGTGACTCCCTCTGGGTAGGACCCTGGCTGCACATGGGGTGAGGGGATAGGCCTGGTCTGATGCTGACACTGTGTCCCTCTCAAGAATTTTCCAGGTCCACCCTCGGCTCCTGAGTCACACCCACAGCTTTTTTGCTCCCTTCCCCATTCAAGACCTCGTGGACAACCTCACGGGCATCTTGAATAAAGTCCTTCCTGAGCTGGTGCAGGGCAAGGTAGGTGGGCTGGGCTGGGGGCTCCCCTGATCCGTGCGCCTCAGAGATTCTCAGGCTGAGAGAGTCGTGGGGTGAGCTACCTGAGTCCCTCAGTTTGAGAAGTAATTCCACCCGTCCATCAGTCTGTCGGTTGCTACATCTGTCCTTGGTTCTTTCCGTCCCTCCAAATGCCTCGGTGGGCTACAGTCTGGTCCAGGCCCCGTGCCTGTCCACACCGCAGCTGAACTGGGTCGGCCCTGCCTGAGAAGCCCCACCAGCCCTCCATGGCTGCAGACCAGAGGTCTTCCAGGCTAGACTCGGGTGTCTCCTAGGGCCAGAAACCGCCTTCCAGAACCTTCCACAGAGGCAAAGTCAGAGTGAACGCACCTCAACATGACATTCAGGCCCCTTCCCAATGTCCCTCATGCCTTTAGTTTCTCCTTCTGCCTAGAGTGCCTGAGACATTCGTCCCCACACCTGCTCAGAATCAAACGCTTAGACACAGAGAAGTGACAGAAAACCTTCCCCAGAGAACCCCCAATAGAGACGATGATGCTCCCGGGTGTCCCACGGGTGCCCCTTTGGTAACTCCCCTCTCTGCCTGGCTCAGGTGTGCCGTCTGGTCAATGGCGTTCTCGAAAAACTGGACATCCCCCTGGTGCATGAGATCATTCGTAAGTGGTGCTTCCAAGCTCTCTCCCCCTCTGCAAGAGCAGCCATGTCCCCAGGGGTTTTGTCCCTGCACACCACAGGGCAGCTCGGGCCTCTGCTTCCACCTTACCTTGGTTTTGGTTTCTTTGTTCCCCTGAAGTATCCGGAAAGTTCTGAGGTCAAAGGCTGCCCTCCTTGGCCCTGACACTGAGACCAGCTGGGCCCTGGGTGGAAGGGCCCGTCCTCATCCGACCAGCCTGAGCATGACGGGTCTCCAGCAGCCCCACTTGCTGGCCCTCCACGTCAGGAGGAATGTGGCTCTCCCTGACTCCTTCTCCTCACGACCAGGACTCTAGACTGGTTTTCTGTTTTGTTTTTCATTTTCTAGACAAGCTGATCCCTGAAGTGAATCTTGTCATCAGGGTCTAGGCCTTGCTGAAAGGACCCTGGTCTCTGCTCTGCTGCTTAGTGTGGCTCCCTGCCCCACAGGATCTGGGACAGTCTGTTACTCTGCTGGTAGGAGGCAGCAGGGGTCTTGAGACTAATGACACTTATATAAGTCAGCTTTCCCTCCCTGTAACGAAATGCCAAAAGTAATAAATTATCAAGACAAAAAAGGTTTGTTTGGGCCCACAGTTTGTTTCCAGTCCATGATTGATGGGCGACCCTTGTCACGGTGAGGCAGTGCCTCGTGGTGGGAGCATGTGATGGAGCAGATGCTCACCTCATCAGGCACAAAGCACAAAAGAAAGAGCAAGAGCTGAGCACACACATCCAGAATCACCACACGCAAGTCCACTTGAGCTCATGGACACACGCTCTCAAATGCATGATCCAGCCTGGGCTACCCTTGTGAATAAGGCCAAGCCTCTAGGCCCAGGGTCTCAGCCTCCTTCTGTCCCCCTGGAGGGCAGGTTTGATGCTGGATCAATACCAATAAGAGTCCATGACCTTGAGTCTCCCTGCTGACTGGGCTCTTCTCCCCACAGACCCGCTTCTTGCTGCAGTCCACCCGCTCCTGCCCAGGACAGGAAAGGCTGGCCCCACGTCCTACAAAATGACAAGGCTGCCTCGTCCCTGGGAGCCTGTGCCACCTCCTCCTCTGGCTGCAGCAAAATAGCCGGGGGGTGATGAACAACTTGTGTAGATTGATACAGCAGGAGTGGGAGCCCTTTATTGTAGGACAGGAGGGGTATTTATACATTCCACACAGCTTATCTAATTAGCATAAACTAGATACAGCAGTCAACCAATCAGGAATCTCCACACTTCATGGCTCGCTGGCGTTACTTCACAAACCACTCCCTCTGGCATTTTGCCAGGCGCCATCCTGACTTGTTTACAGACTCTAACACTCCCCCTAGGTGTGCGGAACCTCCCCTGCTCCCCACCAAATAAAACCGCTCCTCTTCTGCACCAGGGCATCTTGTGCTTCTTCAGCATCACGTGAGGGCTCCCGGCTGGGACTGGCCCTGACCCAGGTGGCTGGGGACAACAGAGCGTGGGCCTGGAGGGGTCAACAGGCCAGACCCAGGCAGTTTCTAGTTCTCGGTAATGTCTCCAATTTTCTTTGGGAACAATTTGTTTTCTTGGAGCCATCTGGACCCACTGGCCCGAATATCCAGATTGTGGGGCATCCTTGACTTCAACAGCTTCGGGGTCACCCGCTGGGTGAAGAGATGGAGAAAAGGTACCAGCCAATTCAAGGACAACCTCCCCATCTTTGTCCCTGCCTGAGGAACAGGGAGGACACCTGGGACTCCAGGGGCCAAGGGCAGCACCTCAGCACTTAGTCTGCAGAGCCCACTGGCAGCTCTGGGCCCTGGATGCCTGTGGGGCCAGCCGAGCCCAACTGTCCATGGGACAAGGTGGTCTGTAACAGCCCTGCTGCAGCCAGTGCCCAGTTGAGAAAGCAATGCCCCCTGGTCCACCCAGTCTGCAGGCCGCTTTCTATTGAGTAGCCCACGGGTGTTTGGGTACCTCAGGTGTCAGGCCAAAGAGCACCCATCCCACTGTGTGGCTCACATTCTTAGCTCTGCAGAGACATACCTCCTCAGGAGATGGTGACATTCTATGCCACAAGCAGCCAAATGTCAGCCCTGTGACTCACTCACAATGGGAACCATGGTCACCAGCACCCTAAAATAGCCCAAGAGGCCCTCACACAAGCTCAATGACCACAAGCAGAAAAACACTTTGGGTCACTGAATTTGCCCCAAATCTCCCTCCCCTGCAATGTCACCAGGTTAATTTTCCCCCTAATATTTCCTAAAAATATTGTCATGTAAGCACCAGTATCCAAAATCCCCTAAAGTCTGAATTCCCTGGATTCCCTCTTAATCTCAACAGGGGCACAGGGCCACTGGTGTCTGGTGGGACCTACATGCCTGGTTTCCATCCTGATGTGTCATTCTACCCGAGACATTTGAGTCTAAAATGATCCAATATCAGACAAACCACAACTGAGCTGCATGAGACGTTCCTGGACTTTTTCCATATTTGCCCTTTGATTGTCTACTCTCCCCCATTTTTAAACCACACCAAGAGTTGCTCAGCACTACAAGAAAACACATCTCACTAGAGGTCCTCAAGCACTCTCTGTACCAGGCCCTCTACCTCCCCCAGACATCATCTCCAACCCCCAGAACTCCATGGGAGTTCATGCCTCATCTCATTTATCTCTGTGCAGCCAGATGGTGGCCAGCCTCAACCAACCCACTGCACCCAGGGAGCTGGCTCTCCCCTGGTAGAGTGGAGTTGCATTTATACCCTGCCATGGTGTGTTTCTTTGGCAACTCTGATCACTGTGCCAAACTGATAAGTAGAAGAGTGTATACCAGTTATGAACCCCGGGGAGAGAGTGGTCACCAGTCCCCAGGGTAGACTCTACGCACTTCTGCTCAATGCATCTGCATGGGAATCTCCAAGAAAAACAACACAGTCAGCACTGGGTAGAAAAACACTTAGATGGAGAGGAGACAGAGCAAGAGGACTTCAATAATGTGCATCATTCCCCATGGTTAACAAGTCCCCCCACCCAAGTCACTGGTACCAAGCAATTGGCTATGCTCACTGCTCTTGAGCCTAGAGGCTCCTCCCCTTCCCTAATAGAGTCTGAAAACTGAAAACTGGGGACATATTTGAGGGCCTTTGATGCAGACACTTAAAAAAAAAAAAGGAGTACATATTGAGTTTGAAGCAGGAAAAGCTATAACCACATAATGTACACACCATGTGAGCTCCTCATCTTAGGGTAAGGAGGTATCTCAGGCCCAAGGCTCACTCTCATGAGACTAAACAGAAGTTTGAAAGATTGCACACACAAGACTGCCTTTCTCAGCATAACCATTAATTGGCCACTAAGATAACCAAGGAGAGACTACAGAAACTTCATATGACAAAGAATACAGACTTCACTGAATTGATTCAGGAAAGTCTCTAAACAAATAACTACAACAACCAGTAACAATAACAAACTCTGAGGGGAGGGAGAATCCAATTTCCAGAAACTACCACATTATATTTTTTAAATATCCAGTGTTCAGCTAATAAACCAGATATTTGTATAAAATATGCAAAACACTTGTATAAGACATGCAAATCAACAAGAAAACTTGGCCTATACCCATGAAAAACTGTCTCCAAAGAATCTCAGGTGTTGGACTCACTACACAAGAACTTAAATTCACTATTTAAATATGTTCGGAGAATATATGTTAAGAAACCATATCTAAAAACTAAAGGAAATCTCAGAACAAAATCTAGAAAATAGAGAATGTGTATAAAGTCATAGAAATCATTGACAAACAGAAATTCTGCAGCTGAAAAGTACAGTAACTGAAATGGAAAATTCACTTAAAAAATGAAACAGCAGATTTTAACAGGCCAAGGAAAATAATCTGCAAGCTTGGTAGCAGATCAATTGATATTCTTTAATCTGTAGAGCAGAAAGAAGAAATTATATATATATATATATATATATATATATATATATATATATATATATAAATGAATAAAGATTCAAAGGTCATCAAGCATATGAACATACACATCATGGGAGTCACAGAAGAGGAGAGAGGGTGAGAAAAGAACATTTGAAAGAATGGCTTCAATTTTTCCAATTTTGATTAAAAAAATAATCATCACTTCAAAGAGCTCAACAAGAAATTCACACTTAAACAATTTATAATAAAACAAAAGACAAAGAGAGCATCTTAAAAGCAATAGGACAAAAGTGAGTCATCAAGTATAAGAAAGTCTCAATAAGACTAACATCTGATTTTTAATCAGAAACCTTGGAGGCCAAAAGGCAGTTGAATGTCTTACTCAAAGTGCTAAGAGAAAAAGACTATCAAGGGACACAGCCACAGCATTGTTTATAGCAGCACAATTCACAATAGCTAAACTTTGGAACCAACTAGATGTCCTCCAATAGATGAATGGATAAAAAAAATGTAGCAAAAATACACAATGGAATATTACTCAGCAATAAAAGAGAATGAAATCATGGCATTTTCAGATAAATGGATGGAGTTAGAGAAAATAATGCTAAGTGAAGTTAGCCAATCCCAAAAAACCAAAGGCCAAATGTTTTCTCTGATATAGGGAGGCTGATACATAGTGGGGTAGGGAGAGGGATCATGGGAGGAATAGAGGAACTCTAGATAGGGCAGAGGGGTGGGAGGGAAAGGGAGGGGCATGGGGTTAGAAATGATTGTGGAATGTGATGGTCATTATTATCCAAAGTAGATGTATGAAGACACGAACTGGTGTGAATATACTTTGTGTACAACCAGAGATATGAAAAAATGTGCTCTCGATGTGTAATAAGAATTGTCATGCATTCTGCTGTCATATATAAATAAAAATAAACAACAAAAAAAAAGACTATCAACCAAGAATTCTATATCCAGCGAAACAATCCTTCAAAAGTGTAGGAGAAGGTAAGGCATTTCCACATAAATAAAACAGAAAGAACTTAACACTAGAGAACATGCCCTGATGAGTCTTTTGGGGTGAAATGAAAGGATACTTGATACAGACTGCAGGAAGAAATAAAGAGCACCAGTAAAGTTAACTACTTAGGCGAATATAAAAGACAGTGGGGTTTTTGTTTATATCTCTTTTCTCTGTTTTATTTAAATGACAAAACAATAATTAGAAATGTGTGATGATGAGGCTGGGACAGAGTGGCACATACCCTAACTGGGGAGACTGGGGCAGGAGGACTGCAAGTTCCAAGACAGCCTCAGCAACTCAACAAGGCCCTCAGCAACTTAGCAAGACTTTGTCTCAAAATTAAAAAAAATAAAAATAAAAAGGATTGGGGAATGCTGCTCAGCAGTTAAGCACCCCTGAGCTCAATCTTCATTACCAAAAAGAGAAAAGGAAGAGAGAAAGAAAAGAAATTTGTGATGATGGGGCATACA